TGTAGGACAGAGAGGAGGTATAGTCCAAAAACTGTAGATTGAGGAGCATTTATCCTATTAGCAGGTTTACACTGCTATTATTTTTTTCTATAATAGAGCTGCTTTAAAACACAACCGATAGGGTAATCAAAAAGATATGGGAAGATTAGGCGACCATGACTATCCTCGTTGCTAGTTCACGACAAAGTATACCTATATTACATTGTGAACAAATCTCTGAAGGCGTTGATAAACTAAGTAACCAAAACAATTTTGTGACAGAATGCACAGCCCTATCAACTGAGTCGAAGGCAGACTTACATTCAAGGTAAACCACATAGAAACTGAACAAACACGAACCCATCCTCATTACTGTTTATCATTATTTTTAAACCGTTTATAAAGTATTACGAAGATCAGAGGTAAGAGAACAATACTAATTTAACCATTATTATTAATACTGAAAAACTTTGAACTCATCATACCTCATGAAAAATTCAAAGAGGTTAGTGAATAATAACAAAGAACTTGGGGTTTAGTCAGCTAGCTATCCTGCAGTGACCTAGTACTTAAACGTCCCTACAAGCCCTTCTTAACCTCGGTACGTGAGTCAGTATTCACCAACCATAGAGAACAAGAACATTCGGTAAAAATCGTTCAACTGAGTAAACTGAACTGCTTTTTGAAGTGATTCGTTCAAAATTGTAAGCATCCATAAAAACCACCTGTATCTATGCGACTGAACACAAAAGTTGTCTTACTAAAACTAAGCCTCTAGTTCACCTTTATATTGGTCGTTTGAATCGTCCCATTGATGTTGAGGACGGCAATCGATCAGTCTCTTATTGGTATATGTGCATCCTGTGTGGATTGTCTTAAGTTATAAGTGTATTTAGGTGACCGGTCCCAAAACGCGTAATCTGGATCCTACTGCTAGCCACCATCCACCTCTGCTTACAAACTCCTGGTTGTTGGTGATTATGAGCCAGGACAGCTACAAAACGTCGGACGCGCAACTACTATTTTCGATTCTGAAGACGAAATTCTGGTGTAAGACTCGGCGCCATTCATCGCCTAATTAACTGATTCACATAATTGCATTCACGATACGGCTATACAGAGGAAATTAAACTACAAATCACAAAGATGCCAGAATCCAAATAAAACACCCACTATGGTTAATAAAACAAAATAGGACTAACTTTGAAATAAATAATCCTCAGTATTTTGATCTGGATTAGCTGACTGTCCAACACCTTCCCAAGGAGATCGACCAGCTAACATCTCAAACATAAGTACCCCTAAGGCCCACCAGTCAACACTGAAACCTAATTTAACAAATATCAAAAAAAAAATTTTACTACTATTTCAAATTATAGTAGTAATGATAAACTATGAGATAAATGGATTACATTATTCACAAACCATTTTGAATTCATATATTTTGAATAATACTTCTGCCATCTGGTTAATACATTTCAGACATCCCCTAAATATTTTTTATTATTAACTTGGTATATATAATGTACAAGCCAAAGAGAACGCAATAAACTGACAGATGAATTAACATCAACGTGACCACACTAACTAGAAATTCTTACTATATACTGATGTTAATCAAAAAGTGTGTAAAAAGGAAAATGTAGAACAATAGCCTAACATTGAATGATGAGATGCCAGAACTAATAGTAATTCAGTACTCGTAAACGTCAGTATCACATAGCAGCGGACAAGTGATGGACGAATCCAAAGTAGCATGATTTTCTCGACAAATAACTGTCAAGAAACTAAAATAAACTTAGATAGTATTTACAGAAAAAGGAAATAGTGGAAAGAGGAATTTAATACAAAGCAGATATTCATATATAATGTTCAAAAAGTTGATTACGTAATACCATTAAGGGGAGAATGGATATAGTGCAAAAACAACAGATAAAATATGAAACAATTTTTATCACTGAAAATCTTAATTGGCAACTTAACAACACTGATCATAATTGAGGGAGAAATAGTAGCCAATCCCATTATGACTTAACCTTGGGGTTGATCCTATTTTATCGATCAAATTATGTTACTATTAGTCATCATGGTATCAATTATTTGCATGCTAAAAAGACACGCATATCAGTTGAACCAAACTGCCAGGAGAAATGTTGGAATTACTTCATTTTAACTTTTACCTCACATTTTTGCATATATCCAGATTTAACTGTTTATGAATCGATTACATCAAGCACTGTATTAGAGGCAACTGGAAAGATGCTTTATTTTATTCTCAGAAATATTCGAAAAGAATGAATAGCAAGAGACCATAAAGAGGGATACTTTATCAAGAACCAGAGAAAGATCTTAATGAGTACAAAAGAGGCATTACACAGTTGTCAAAAGTGTTAGTGAACGGGATGAAAGAGCCAATAGACGATCAACTTGAAAACCAACAAACTGGATTTTGTAGGCATCGATTATGAATCAACCGAATCACGACACTGTACATCATTATTGAATAATCAATTGAAAAAGGAACTTATCACTAAATATCGACTTCTTTGGTTATAAGTAATTGACAGCGTGAATGGGGGGACCTTATGGAATCTTTAAACTAGGGGGTACCTGGGAGGACCGTCACCATTATACGGAACCCCTACGAAAAGCTGAATTGCAAAGTTTTGCAAGAAGAGCAGCTCACAAATACATTAAATGTGAAAACCGATGTAAAGCAAAACTGCCCACTCTAGCCTTCCTTATTTTGACAGTTATCGATTGAATTATGACGAACCTCATATCTCAGAAAATGCAGGGAATATGGTAGACACATTGGATAAAGCCGGATGACTTGTACTTCGCAGATAACTAAGCCTATCTATTTTGTATACAGCAACAAATGTAGATGAAGACAGTAAGTGTAACAGCGACTATAACAGTAGTGGGTCTTAACACTAAAAAGGAGCAAAACCCTTGAAATACAACACAGGGAGGAGTAGTAACCGAATCACTGCTGATAGCGAAGCTGTGGAATAGGTGGGAACCTTTACGTACCTGCGGAGCATTATTGATAAAGAAGGAGGATCTGTTGCAGATATAAAGGCATACATTGGCAAAGTAAGGGTGACATCCCCACAACTGAAGAATATCTGAAACCCAAAGACTCCCAAACAAGATCAAAGTCAGAAACTCTTCTATTGTATATAGATTAAACTCAGAGAGCTACCACCACTGTCGCCAAAAAAGTACAGATATTTATTAACAGCTATCTATGCAAGATACTCCATATCCATTGGTCAGAGGTCATCAGTAATAATCTATACTGTCATTTGAGGAGATTAGGAAAAGACACTAAGAGTAGATAAGACAGTTTAAAAAAACCGCACAAAATTGGATCATACGGCAAACCCCAACTTGGAATCTCTAAAGCATAAGTAAAAGAGGTGAACCAAAGAACACAGCACCGGGGATGGGATGAAGGTACCAAAAGGATGAACAGTACTTGCTAAAAACTGGAAACAAGAGCTTAGGATAGAATTGTTTGGAGATCATTGGTCGGCCCCCAGTACCTCGAGAGATGTAACAGGCTCAAGTAAGTAAGTAGTACACAAAATGAGTTATTTAGTTATAGTTATTTTCATAGCTCCGTAAAACTATTCGACTTTCTGCAAAATATATTTATCTAACCTCACATTCCTTAACATTTCAACTTTTTTAAACACACATTAGACTGTTGAATGTTAGTTAATACAATAGAAATTAGTTTTGAATAGATCTATAAGTATAGATTAATTGCTATTTAAAAAGCATTTTAATGATAAACTGAAAATTATAACAATCACCAAGTTCATTCATAAAACATGTTCTTTATTTAATTTATGTGAACCATTCTTGAAAAGCTTACTCAAATCTCAGTTGAATACTGATTCATTTAGAAGTCTATAATACTAGCAAAATCGAGTCAATTTTATACCCGTATATTAAAAAAAAGAATAAATATCAATAACGAAAAATTCGAAGTTAGTTTGGGAAAATATTAGGGTCACCTTAATCAATTAAAGTGGATCATTAGATTATAAGACGTATTTATTATGGAAGAGATAATGTTACTAATCAATTATACAAATTGAAGTTCAACATTTTATAATGGTAGTAATCCAAATACCTTACAATTTAATGTCTGCAACAAAAATCCAAATGATTTAACTCATAAGTCACTTTAAATGATTTACAGACTGATTGATGAAAGAATATATTATCTAGATAAAAAAATATTAAATGAATAAAACTCTATAATAGTAGAATAGTGTATATTCATTTATTTTATACAGTCTCTTCAAATGTTTACAATTTAAGAATAATTGTATTAATACACTTGGTATTGTTTTACTTGAATCTTCTGATTGATGTTTTAGGACTGAAATCGATCAGTCTCTTATTGGCATATGTGCATACTGTGCGTATGCCTCGATATTGCCTTAACTTACAAGCATTATAAGCAAGTGGCTATCAGGACTCAGTAGCTAAGTGGATAACGTGATGGCATTTGAGGCGAACGGTACTGATTTCGAGTCCCAGAGTGAACATCAACTCTGAGATGCAGGTACATCCAGCCGACGAGTCCCAAACAGGACGAAAAGCGAGTCCTGGATTCCAATTGTATTAATAATTTCAAAAACAATGTACATACTTGGTATCATTTTATAACAGGAAAGCTTTTACCAATGAAAAAAAGTAATAAATAGAGATAAATAAATTCTTCTTTATTCTTGTATTTTATCTTAACTTAGCCTGTTTTATTCACTTTTAATCAATTCATGTTTTTTTTAAGTATTATTATTGTGTAACTTTTGACATTGATTTTTCATTTCTAGAGGCCTATTTTCAGGTGTATTTCAGTTGTGTTTTTTTTGAGAATGCTAACATGTAAATAAGCAACTATAAGAATATCTCTTGTAGCTTTTCTAGATTAATTAATTCTTTTTTTTACCTTATGCTCGTTGACGAAGACTGTTTTTATGGTAATAAAGTATGTATATCTTTTTTTAAAATAATTACTAAAATTTTTAGGTTATAGGAAGCTCAGATATCTGTAAAATTAATGAATCCATACTAATTTATCTCGATTACTGTCTTTATTTTATTCACATATAAAAAGAAACTCACTATAACTTTCTCCTTTCAGTATTTCAGGAGCTATATAATTCGGTGTACCACAAAATGTAGTTGTAGTCATATCTCCGATGATTCCTTCCTATTAAATAAATAATAATTTAGATACGATTAATAATATATTATTTATTAAGTTGGATTGTCTTGTTTTATATCTTAAATAGTGTACTATATGCTTAAAACAAGCGAGAAGAATTTGTAGTGCACAATCAATGTTAATAATACTAGCTACTATCACTTAGTTTTAGGCAAATACTTTAACTAAGTAGTAGAATAAAATACTTATTTTAACACAGCGTTTTATTAGAGTTGAGAATAATAATTCAAAATGAGTTAGTAACGTACTGATCGTCGTCTATGTCATAACTTCCAAAATATGATTTTGAAAGTGAATAAATTGTCACGAAGTGATATGCTCATGAGTATATGTCTTTAGAATTCTTACTAGCTGAGAATCTAATTAAAGAATTAATTGAATATATTTCTATTCATTTGATTTACGTTAGTTATATCATGGAAATACGTAACAAACTTAATGATGCTAACTGATCATATCAAATAAATTTAATAAAAACATTCAATTTATCTAAACTTCTAGATTACCTATTTTCCAACTTTTTAAATAATATAAGGAATCTGTTCCGCTTTTAATTTGATTTGAATGACTAACCATGGATGTGTGGCCCAGTCAAGAAATGGGATTAGTCTATGGATTCATTGTGAATTGAACTCAGGCATTTAGATACGTGCAAACAACCTAATTGACGTCCCCATGATTATCAAAACCGATGGATGGAGACAATAGGTGATGTGGCTTAGAATCGATCGTAATTATAGTGTTTTCACTATTCATCTTCCCTTAAATCTTAAGTTTCTAAATTCTCCGTGAATTTATTTTACTAATTTTATTTTAATATTTTCTTCGAACGTATCTTCGGTGCCAAATCTTTTCGACTACTACTAATAATGTTATTACCTCCACCATTTTGAGACTTTCTTTAACAGTTTCATCTAGTTGTGTCATTGGGGTATGGAATCTTTGAACCAATGTACAGATGTCCCAGGTTCTACGTTGTGTATGACTGACTGAATATCAACTCTGATACAGTAATGAAGGAAATAACTACATGTATAATAGCTTAAAGAAAGTTTTACTGTTTCATAAAAAAAATTAAGTCGGTAGCAACTGTTACTTCAAAAAGGTTACGCGGAATACAATGTCACTTAGTTTTTCTAATCGTAACGCGCTTAACATACATTTATTCATATTGAGTGACCTGAATGATATGGACCGTGATAGAAAGCAGCGAAACGTTATCTTTCAAACATACTGTAATAGACAACGATCAAGATTAGTCAGTATAGCTACGTATTTTTAATCGAAAAGTCAAGTTAAAATCATACATAATCATTGAACGGGAAAAGTTAATATTTTCCCTTACTTTACACATTCCATAATCAGTCAGTTTAATATGACCTTCGCTATCCATCAAAACATTGTCTAACTTGAGATCTCGGTAAATAATACCACGTTCATGGAGAAAATTTAATGCAATGCAAATTTCAGCTGCATAGAATCGTGCATAATCTTCTGCTAAACGAAGATTACGTTGCATATAAAACATTAGGTCTCCACCATTAACAAATTCAATGACAAAGAATAACCTATTGTTTATAAGTTAGTTTTGAAAAAAAAGAATAGAAAGAATGAAGTATAACACAAAATCTGGATCACTGATTAACTAATCATACTAAAAACAATTACCATTATCTATGAGAATAACAAAACTCCACCTGAAACCCTCCTAGGGTTCATGCCAGTTCCGAAGCCTAGGTAAAAAGGATTGAGCATGGAATTAACAACCCCTTGCAAAAAAACGTTAACCAGGGAAAACAACAAGGCAATTAAGTATGGGTAAATTATAGAAACGTTTACTATTGAAATAACCGATAGATGGTTCGATTTTTCTTTAAATGTCATGTCTAAAACTACGAGCCATAATTCTGTACGTAATTGTACATAGGGTCAGCATGAGTTTTTATTTAACAGGATTTTCGTTTAGAAGCCTACAACACTCATTGAACAAGGTTAGTTTGGCATATCATTTATGCTTTTGGGATTTTCCATAAATTTATACATAAAACAAATAAATTTTTGGATGAACTAAGCACAGAGTAAAAATAACCAATAGTGTTAACACATACAGGAAGAGGAGATATGGATAGTAATCTAAATAAATATCAACAATTAATGTTGTGACGATATATTTTTTTTACTTCAACATGCATTATTCCAAACAACATTTATTTATGATAAATAAGAACTTTCGTCTAAATTTGAACGAATAGTTTCACAATATTTGGGCGCCGAGTTAATGTGAGTCATTATTTATTTATGATTACCAAAGACTGTGGAGATTTTTAGGTTGGTTTTATTTACTTATGAGTAGATGTCATTTTTGACAGTTTTTGATTTGAACCAGAAAAATCACTTTTCAAATATGAGGTAATTCTACTCTAAATATTTGAACTCATATTACTTAACCACAACACAGTTACAGATATTAACATAGCATTATTTGAATAGAAACTGAATCCCCTAGGACTTAACCCAGTGAACTGACTAGTTACCGTTCTGGTTTCACTACTGTCTAAATTATATTATATGAAGTCGATGTATATCAGTTCACTTGTCCGACTATCTATCTGTCACTTGTGACATCGCAATACTTTATCGATCTCGTCAGTAATTAACAGTCCTATTTGAAATGGTTGACTTTAGATGCTCGCTACCAGAACTTTAAAAAAATTTATCTCGTAGAAAGTTATTACTAAATAGGCGTGTCATTATGAAATCAGTACAAAACCACTTATTGCAAATAAATGTTGAATTATTACCATATACAACACACGCGACTGAAATACACGAATATGATGTGTATCGCATCAATAATTTAATAAAACCTTCCACTTTATATGATTTGAAAATATGGACTGACTTATGCGACTAGTGTAAAGGCACTTTATTAAGATTATAAATTAATATTATTTAGGATGTTAAATAACTTCTTGACCTATAAAGACTTAAAATGAAATAAGCACATCAATCATTATTCGAGTAATTGGCATGTATAAAATATGCCGTCATTATCAGCTGACTTCACTGTTGTCTACAAATATATCATGGAATAAAATAAGATCAAAAACTCAGAATAAATTCGTAAAAAGATTGATCAATATTGAGATGGTGCAAATCAATATTTGATTTATCCACATCAAATTAACCATTAAAAATAAATTAAATAACATTTTATTACAAAATCAGTGATACTATGATATATCGCTCCGGATTTAGTCACATTCGAAAACTAATAGCAATGTGTTTTCCAAATTATATGAGTGAACTGAACGATATTCTTAAATCCTGAGTGATAGACACGTTTATAGATACAAATAATCATTCACTGACAGGTGTTACTCGGTTAAACCATCAAACAGTAATACAACTCAGTAACCAAGTACATGGTTCTCATACTCCGTCTTGAGCAACAATATAATAACAAACGAATCAGAGATACTATTTACGTTTTGAAAAGCTGAATTGGGTGATACGAGGTTCAAATATGCAATTGAGAATAAATGGATTTGATCATTAAGCAATAAATGCCCTGGTATGGCCGAGAGTGGTGTGGGTTCGCCCACCCTCTCGAAATGCTCTCACATGGCCACGCGTATATAGCCTCTGCCAGGAAAGTCCTGCTCACTGCCTTCTCGTGGCGGGGGTGTTGTTTACGAAATTGAGAGGACGAAAAGCGAATGTCCAGCGCTTTAACCGGATTCCAAACCAATGGTGCACATGGGCTCCAGTATCCTGAGGGAACAAATGGCGTATGAACCAATCGTTGGTCACCGGCTACCATGGGACTGCATCTCCTCACGATGCTCCACTGCCTTGTGGGTCAGACCTTTAGGTCAAAGGCCCGGAGTGTGGCCCCCTAAGAAAACCACCTGTTTCGGTTTGGGCACCCGGGCAGTATCTCAGCCCACACACACACAAATATGGTGTGGCGCATATATATTTGGTGCCCTCTTGTACCAATATTATGTGTTGAAATAAATAAATTAGCAATGATAATCAGGAAAATGCTTTTTAGTAGTCGCACTCAGAAAATCATTTCGATGGGACTAAGTCAACTACATGGAAAACTCATGTCACCATTTCCACTATAGGGGTCCAAATCGCAACAAAAAAAGAGAAAAATGTAATCTTAAATACTAGCCATCGGAAAATATAGACCCTTAGAAATAATGTCCTTTAGGATAGTTTTCTCCATAAAACCGTACAGCATTTAGACAATAATGTTAATCTATGAGGTTACAAAATACGAATTTTATGGATTATATTGATTCTAGAAACTTACCGACTTCTAGTTTGGAAAACACGAGTGTAAACCAACTAAAAATGGATGGTTAGTAGCGCATTCAAATACATGTTTTTCTGTTTGAACCCAATCAATATCCTAGTATTGGAAGTATGAGAAGAACGAGTTTTACATATACTGTCTAGTTAATGTGAATTAATATACTATCAGTTCCCTAAGACGGTAGTTTTTTTACAAAATATTCAAGTAAAAACTTAGTTACCTGGGGTTGAGTTTTGCTGTCTGATTTTAAACTGATTCATCTGTAGAACAGAGGCTACTTCAGAAGCAATGTACTCTTGCTTAGAAAAATCATAGTTCTCTGGGTTTTTTACTTCACAGGAAGTTTTTTTCACTATAATTTATTTGGACTCATAGAACTCACTTTCCAGTATCCTTCAATATGGGGAATTTGTATCGGTGCGAGCATCAAAAAATGGAGATTTAATAGTGTAATGAAAGATTATCAACAGAAAGATTGAATAATATGATGAACATCTAAGTGTTATTTACATTTATAAATTTTTATAACACAGTTTAATATGTTTAAATGAATGAGTTCAAGTTTTATACCATACCACGTAAAGACGTTAGTAACAGTTTGTTCCCATAGTCCTCCACAGACAATTTAATCCATGTTGTTACCTCCTTTCACATTTTCGCATGCTTTTGTTGAACCAGTGGACTGACTTTTTTGATCTCCAATCCACCTGGACTCCATTCCTTTTCTAGAACATCATTGACTATCTTGTATGTTTGGATGAGCACGTTACTCTTCTGTCACACTGTTCGTTTTAGGAAGATCTTTCATAATGGAACTGTGGACATTCAATGCTATAATTTGGAAAATTAGGTCACTAAGGCTTCCGCAAGTTGTAGGTCACCTGACCACGTGTTTCCAAAATAATTAGTTAATACGTTAATTTCTACGTAGAATGATGACTAAAAAAATGTCAAATGAGGTTACATCTATGACCGATAAAAAACTAATTTAGCCAACCGATGGAACTGTAGAGCAAACTCTTAATAGGTCATTTGGGGCTATTGAAGATGATGATTGCTGTAGTCTCCGCCATATATTGGCTCAGACGAAATAAGCAAACCTGTACTGAATCTGAAAATACTCGTCGAAATGCTAATAAAATCGAATGTTTGTAATGGATTAGTTTATATTAAAAAGTGTTTCGTTCAATTCTTTAAAGATATGTGATACGAATTTGTACTTTTGTCGTTCATTAGAATGCGAACCAAATAATTAATCGGACTGAATTCCATAGTATGAACTATGTAGATCTACGTAAACAGAAGCAACGATGTTTTTAGTGTTTGATTGCCATATCAATGATGATAATCATCTAACAATTTTATACCCTGAGTAGTAGAAAACACTGGAACGCGTTTATCGACTGGTTCACTATCATGTAGAAGTTTTTGTTTTACATAATAGCCATGTATTAATACGGTATATATCCAATGAATTCCAACTTAGTAAGGGCGTCATCTTATAGTCATATCGTACTCGATGAATTATCTGCTTCTTCTAAATCACAGCTGGGAGTTGAATCCATTCATCAAACCAGTAGTTATTATTTTGTGTCGTTTCTGTTAATGGTGTTCAGTCTTTTATTATGCTAATTACTACTTTTTCATTCCCTTTGGCTTTACTTAAAACACAATTGTGCCCCATTTATAGCTTAGTAATAACTCCATTTTCCGTACGACACTGTGACCTATATTCCACCTTACGATATTCTACAGATCTCTAAATCTTGTCGTTAATTACTTGCTTTTTCTGGAGGTGTAGCTATTCATTATCAAAAAATCAGTGGTGTTGTTATATTTTTACGTACTCGAATTCCATTCCAATGAGGCATAAAAAATATAACTTGAAATGTAGTTTATTGTCTTTAATACATTTTAAATTATTTTAAACTTCGCTCAAATGATCTATTGTAAATTAAATATATACTAATTTGTTTTGTGTGTAGTCTTGTTTTCATCAGTATTTAGTTTAATACCTTAACGTTTTCTATCACTTGTATTTGTACTGAATTCTCTCTTAATTCATAATACAAGTCATTCTTAAAGAACTGATAGTTATTTTTTATTAGAACCCTTTTAATCCTCACCTTTATTAGAATAAACCGTAATTCCCATTCCTTTTGGCATTTATTAGTTTCTATCAACCAAAACTTCTCCATTCGATTACCAACTGGTAGTACCAGTGATACAATACTTAAGATTACTGTTATTCAATATCTCCTGAAACCGTCGTCTGTTTGCATGCATAAAGCTTTAACAGTGATAATCGACTTCACAATGAACATCAGACTGACAACATCAAACAGAACCTTGAATACAGAAGCGTTGCTTTAAATTACAATGACTTCTAACAGTAAACAAACTAGAAGGACATTTTAAAATAAATAATGGGAGCTAAATGAATAGTAACCAAATGTCCATGATTTATAAGACAAAAATAAGATTGATTCGGACTATTGTGATGGTCTTTGAGTCATTTCGCTTAAGGGGTTATATAAAAGTCAACTTTTATCATCCTGAAGACCTTAATCAAGTCTATGATTCTTAATGTGATTAAGATTAACAGTTAGTGAATTAGTGCACTGAGACTTGCAGTACAATTGTAACGTAAAACTAGTAATATTCAACAATCATACTAACGTTTGTGTGCTCAGCTTTCACTTATATGCCCCTGTTAAAGTAATTTAGACTCATGAAATGGTAGACTCATTTGGTATAGTTATGTCGCAATAAATAAAACATTATCGGATACTAATATGTTTTTAGAAGTGATAAGGAGTATTTTGGCCCACGTGATGCGGCTGACTTCATGAGACATCCATTTATTAAAATTACTCAAACCTAGAGAAAAACGAAAACTATAGAAGCGGTTGGGTTTTGGAGCTTGATGTTATGTTTAGTGCTTTGTTTATATGCACACTGTCAGTAAACAAATGAGTCACAGAAAAACTCATAGGTAATAATGGAACCAGAAAAATGTAAAGTGGTGAAGATCGATTTATGTCTAATTTTTACATATATTATAGTTAATGAACCTAGATAGTCACATGTTCGATGCAGGAAAGTCGAAACTCTGAGTAAATTCCGAAGAATTGCGAAACATATATTCAGTGAACATCTGACAGTCCCGAAATGCCTTGGTACACTCGAGAGTGGAGAGAGTATACTCCCCCTCTCGAAGTGCTCTCATATGGTCATGTGCATACAACCACTGCCAGAGAATGATGAATAAACATTTGTTAAAACTAAGTCTATATTTAGTGACTTTCGTTCTACATATTTGCAAAAGGTATGGAAAACCGTTAGTTCAAAAGCATTTGTTAAATTACCGAAAGTACAAACCAAACGTACCTCTTCATCCAGAATAGTTTCTTTTTTAATAACTTTCATTGCATATATACGATTAGTTGGTTTATGCTCTACTTGAAATACTTTAGCATAACTACCACGACCAATCACTTTGAGTAAATTGAAATCATGTAAACCAACCCGTCCAGAAGTGATTGGAATATCAGGAATATCTATAATGCGCTGTTCTATGATTGGTATGGACTTATCATCAACTTTATCAGTGATGATAGAAACGGGAACTGGTACACTACTAGGGTGAACACCACCACTTGTTTCAATTATTAAGTTGTCTGAACCTGATTTGAGCTAAAAAAAATTTAGCATAAGTAAAACAAACGGAGATTAGAAACATTAATTCATGGAATATTTTGAGTAGATGTGCCTTATTTTACGAATTACCTTTCAAATGTCAGTCAGTAGCAACGTAGAACTTCGTACGTACGTACATCAGTTCCAGTTACCATACCACATTAGCACAGAGATGCAGTTGTTGATTCAAATCCCATAGTGGTAGAGGTAGTAAGAGTATAAGCAGTAATCGGGAAGATTAGGGTTTGGAGATGTTATTCAAGGAGTATAATGCGGTGAAATAAGTTTGGGATGAGAAAAAAAGAGACAAGGAGGAATCAGGATATTAGAATTTAGGAGAACACAAAGAGTGGATACACCTGAGCCATCTCATTCAGGGTCTCTAACCATCGGTTGCTATCATCTCGCTATCCCCAACCAGGTAGTCTACACCTACCAACATGACTCAGACCACTTGTCAGTGACTTCATGGACTTGTGCCATGTTTTGGTTTGGCCGCCCCTAGCTTTCTTCCAACCTACTCCTATACCACTGAACATAGCACGTCGAGGCAGTCGGTGGTTGGGCATACGTAACACGTGTCCCAGCCATCTCGACTGACGAAGTTTCACTACGTCATCAATTGATTTGCCATCCTTACCTAGTACCCGTTTCCTAACAACTGCGTTACTTACTCGATGGTCCCAGGATATACGAGCAATATTTTGCAGACACCTATGATCAAATACTAGTAACCTACGAATATCCTCTACTCTTACCAGCCATGTTTCACTGCCATAAAGTAGGACGGAACGAACTGCTGCACAGTAAACACGTCCTTTGGTTGATAGACGGTTATCTCGCCTACTCCATAAATGACGCAAGTTGGCAAAAGCTAGTCGAGCCTTCTGTATCCGTGCTGAGACTTCGTCACATACCCTATGTAATACCATCCATCAACGAACATAGTATTCGTATATTATATGTCGTGAATGGAAGGCTAATTACAACAACAGAGCTTGTTTAGAGTGAAGAAATATTTGACAATATGACTATATTATTTATTTTGAGTGAAGAATTGCATAGAACATCATCGTATATGGTTCTACCGTATTTTTCTTAGAGGATAATACCCTTATGTGAGTTAGCTAGCACTATCATAATTAATAGGTTTGAAAGAAATACACTTTTTCCTTAAAAGTAAATATTTTATCATAACAAATAAACAAACGTGATAGATATGGAACCAAGAGAGCACGTATTTACGGAATTTTTAATGAAAATACTTACATTATTTTTTGTATTGGATGTTGGCGTAAAGTGTTTGTCTGATATTTCTGAAAAGAATAAAGTGGAACATATCTGAAGTAACATCTAAGACTATATATATAAGGGTCAATTATTCGTTTTCAAATTTCGTGACAGTCATTAAAGAGCAACGCAACTACCCTGAAGTTTGAGTTACTCACTACTCATCAACAGCTTCCACAGGACGCATCTGCCGGGCCTTCAACTACCAATGAATTTACGGTGGTTATAGTTAGACTGAAAAGCGAGAAAGAGCAGCCGACTGTGATATAGGTTTTCTCAAGATGGCGGTATTACAGTGTGAGCGACTGCTCTGATAATTAGTTTTTAGTTGTAATTCACAAGATAAACTAATATCTATGGTTGGAGACTAGATGGTGCGACACAAAATCAGACGTAATACAACAAACTTTTCCATTCTTTATTTTCCTTTAAATTATGAGTTGTAATATTATTTCATATATTTTAATATTGTATTCCCTACCACTTAGTATTTTGCTATTAATTTAACTCATGTTTATTTCGTTAATTTTCTCACTTGTTGTTCCAATGTGAAGTATGGCAACTTAGATCGACGCGCATTTATGTCAAATCCTTTGTTGCTTATGATATACTAACTGGTCTAGGATTTGATTCTACGTATGGACGTAAGTGATCATTAGTGGATCGTGAATTACGATGAATTATCTACTAAATGGTTATTGCTCCATCATGACTTCTCAACTGATGTCAATTTGTGGAGAAAATCATTCTCAAAACTTAGGACTTACGATTTGATTCTTTTTCACCTAAACCAATGATTTTTTCTCGCTTTGGTGGCTTTGAATCATCTTTGCATGGTTGAATAGTGACAGGAAGACGAGATGGGAATGTATTACTTGTCCCAGAAGATAGATCTGTTGCTATGGTTGTAGGTCTGTTTCCATTATTATCCCACACAATAGGAGTGGAACCGGTGGAAAATGTAGAAATTGAACGCATATTTTGATAGGTCGGTCTTATGAATGCTTCACCACATTTATGACGCACGCCACCTTGACAACGACGATGAAGTAGAAGACGACAATTAATACATTTAAACCCTTGTTGTCCCAAACCCCATATACGTTCCTTACAGTAAGCACATACGGCATTCTAAGATGAGAAAAACAACGAAAGACATATATTAATTAAAATGGCATAAAGAAAGTTATATCTGCTGACTAGACCGGAGTAATTTATTTCGGTCGGTCAAAATGTTTCCATTACCCATTGAATATGTGAATAGTCATGGTGAGTTGCTCTTTTAAAACAGCATTCTTTGTTGGGACGCTAAATGATAAAAAAGAAGTAACCTAGAGAAGAGTAATACACTACATACTTACTTACATAAAAAGATACAAATGCCACCATCATTCGAAGGCACTCTTGAAGAGACAATGTTACTTACTGAATTATGTTATGAAGGATGACTATGTGGAGAAACAGAGTTTGCAATTTTTTTAAATAAGTGACTGCTATACAGATAGATTAATGAAATACAATAATACGAACTAGCTGATCGATGACTACTCGTGTGACCGATTTATTTACTTAAACCTTTAGACAATAAAGAATCTCTGAATAATAGATTGATTCATTGGGAAGTTAGGACCAAAAAATAGATAATTTTATCAGTTGTTGGATATCACTACAATCAAAGACAATGACTTTTGTTATCTGAAATGACAATGCCCTGGGAATCTTTAAACATGTGCATAAATTTGAGTAGGTGCAACATAATCAATAGGACACTCATAAAAATTTTGTTCGAGTATTAGTTATAACAGAAACATCTTCATAGAAAGATTTTATTTTTTATTTCAACACATAAATATTGGTATAAGAGGGCACCAAATATATATGCGCCACAAAATATTTGTGTGTGTGGGCTGTGATACTGCCCGGGTGCCCAAACCGAAACAGGTGGTTTTCTTAGGGGGCCACACTCCGAGCCTTCGACCCAAAGGTCTGATCCACAAGGCAGTGGAGCATCGTGAGGAGATGCATTCCCATGGTAGCCGGTGACCAACGATTGGTTCATACGCCATTTGTTCCCGCAGGATACTGGAGCCGGCGACCATACCACGTTGAAAGCACCGGTTCTCATAGAAAGATAACCAATCATAACATAGATTCTGGGCCAAGCTGCCATACTATATTAGCACAGTATGATGGAATTAACAAGACGAATCCCAAAGGAGTTGAAATAATAGTTGCATCAGTAGAAGGTTAAAGGATAATACACTGGGAATATTATTTCAAAAAGTATATATGAGGGAATATTAAAAATTAAGATATAGAGGAAGATAAAGATTTAGTAAATCTGAGCTAGTGAGATCCATTATGAGCTGTGTCATGTTGGTAACTGACAAAAGGCAATCCTAAAAAATACTAGTGAATTTACCCGATTAAATCGTCTGGCAGCAAACTGATGACCATGCAATAAATAAAATTTCTTTTTCCATCGTTTAGCACCTCTTCGGTACATATTAACTGATAAACAAAACATAAGAGGACAAGAGAGTAGCGAGTAAGTGAAGTCAACAAATTATAGCCTCAAACTAACAAATTACAAAACCTGTAGGTGGTAAATCCGATCCTAACTAGGAATGATAAAAGTACAACTCATATATGCATATATACCAATGTAACCGACTATTAACCAAACGATATATATGGGAGTTGATGATGTTGCTTGGATATCCAAACCTTGGTAAACAAAATGAGAATCAAACTCTTGATCTAGATGTTGAAAACCAAGTACTTAAACCATTTCAATCACTAGTAATATTTGCACTGTTATATATAGTTCTTACTTAAAAGCATATGTATCTAGTCAAGTAATATTGATCACTTTTACAACCGCACTACTGGAGACCTATGCAAATGCGTAAAAATTAAATCCAGGAAAATAAGTCTATAAAACTACCAGCTGAATGCTAAGCATCCTTTACAAATTATATGACTCAAAAAGTAATATTTTATGTTCCTCATTATGGATTATTAGTGAACAAGTGTTTTGTTACCATAAAATGGTAATTGCCCCCACGATACCCGTTGAATTTCATAAAATAAAAGCGTAGAGACATCATAAACAGGTGCCTTAAATAGCTGAGTGTTAACTTGGTTCGATATTATAAACAGAAAATCCCGGTTAGCCGTCTTGTTGTTTTCAGAGACATTTAAAATCTGATAAGAAAATGAATTCATGCCGTTTAAAGTTCAATCAAAGTAAAAAAAAATAGCTAGGGTTAATTCCAAAAAAACTATATTTTACTCCTTACCCACAAATTTTACAATTCATGCTTGACTTCTCATATCATGGTAGTGACTTGATTTGTATTTAAGCCAATTACTAATAAGCATTCAGAAGTTCAAATTGATAAGGTGATTTTTGCGAACTTGAGGATAGTTTTTAGTACTGTTAGGACTTATTTATTTGAACACAAATGTTGGAACAAAGGGGCACCGAATACATATGCACCACACAAGTCACTTGAGTTGTGTGTGGGTTATGATACTGCCTTGGTACCCAAACTGAAGCAGGTGATTTTCTTATGGAGCCACACCCGGAGCCTTCGACTTAGAGGTCTGATCCATAAGGCAGTGAAGCAACGTCAGAAGATGCAGTCCTATGGTAGCCGGTGACAATTAATTGAATCATACGCCATTTTTTCCTCAGGATCCTGGAACCCATGTGCACCATTGGTTTGGAATCAGGGTTTCCCGGCTCCCCTGAGTGGACTCTCCATGTCCACCAACACAGTTAAAGCACCGGACATTCGCTTTTCGTCCTCTCAGTTTCGTAAACAACACCGTGACCGCAAGAAAGCAGTGAGTAGAACTTCCTTGGTAGTGGTTGTATGCGTGGCCATGGGAGAGATTTCGAAAGAGAGAGCTGACTCTCCCCACCATCGGCCGTACCAGGGCATTTGGGGGCACTTTTGAGACTAACATTTGCTTAACAAGAAAACCCTTATCAAACTGGCCTAAAATATTGATTGTGTTGATCAGGAACGTGAAAATCTAAGACATTTTATCAAAAGTAAGATATTTTAAAGTCATTATACATAGACAACTTCATATCAAAGTAAGTTTGTATTACTATTATTATTACTTCACTATTTGAACACATAAACACTGGTACAAGAGGGCGCCAAATACATATGCGCCACAAAATAACAATGAGGTTGTGAAAAGATAGAGAAACGAAAATGTGTACAATAAAAAGAACAACGAACAGAAATAATTGTATGAGAGTGAAATAATAATAATGGAAGAAACAGTTCAGTTAGCCAGTGTAAAACCCGGAAAAATTCTTCCAGTTAAAGAAGTTACGTCCACTTTTTATGTAGAAAGTAAAAGAAAAGTTACAGCAGGATCGCTACTAACTTCCACTCTGAGCAATATCCGGTAACGTTTCTAGTCACTGTGTCACACCATCTCTAGGACCCCAACCAATGAGTCGTGCAGGACCAACAGAAGCCAATCCTGTACAGTTTTCTTTCATACCATGACACTATGCCATACACTGGCCACCTCCCTGCCTTCCCAACCCGGCCCCAGCGTCGGCGAATAATCCACAAAGTGTAATTTTCTGAGACGAAACTCGTAGGGCATGTTCAAGCCGCCAAAGGCGATGTTTCAAGATGGTGACACCATTTGAATTGTCATCTTTGTTTCCGAATACGAGATGCCGAACCTCTGCATTACTAACATGATGTTGCCACTAGATGTCTTGCGTATGTCTCCGGCTTGCACCACATCTGTCGAACGCACTTTCTGTAGAACACTTAACTGGTGGTAGAACTCATCCTTGATCGCATCCGGGCTGCAGTCTGTCGGAGTATAGGTGGAGATGACAAAAAGACGATGTCACGGAGCCCCCGGATAAACGTACGCGAAACGAGCTTTTTGAAGAAACAGATGGAGAGCTAATTTGCAGTACTTCACTATAGTCTTGAACATAGGTGTCAGATAAATAAAAGACATTGATGTTGAGACTTTTTAAGGACGTACCCAATCCTATCTAATGTCCGATCTGCATCAGTGTGCGACTATTGAAGGAGGGTCTTATTGGGAATATTGAAGTAGAAAATTACGGTTGTCAACTAAATTCAAGACAGTATTTTAATAGGTGATAAAGTGGAGCCTTCAGAGAAGCCATTCATATTCTCAAAAGAATACGATTTTTCTCAAATACAATCAGTATGAAAGGTAAATGCTTTTATAATATGGAGTTGACAATGAAAACACTTACTATCTTCGCCAGGACAGGGTTTACCCGGTTCACTTGGAACTCCATTAAATACTAAAACAAAGTAAATGGGAAATTTATGAAGCTTAACTGCAAAGTTAGAATTAGACCAGGTACACTTTATAAATCATTTACGAACAAACACCGCGATAACACATCATACACAAAGTATCCATGCGATATTTACGGGTTCAAAACCACGGAAAAACCTTCCTACATTTGAAATCTCAAGCGAATCGGAATTTCATGCCTCTATTAGGATTATTGATTTTATCCATTAGTATTTTTCCGAAACAGAAGTGTATTGTGTTCACGTTATTTCACTTATAATTCGTTTTTATTCGCTTTTGACATTAAGATTATGACCATTTAGTTCAGCAATCAGTAATAAGTGATAGTTTTGACCATTGTGTTCAATATAATGATCTAAGGGGCCTACCCAGGCAACACATTTTGCAGAAATAATCACGTCTTCGTTAAATGTAGTTAATGAATTTATATATATGGACAGGAAATCGTCCAAACAATCTTTCGTCACTTCTACTAATATGTAAGAACTAATAAAATCGTGAACTCATGATTAAACATCAACTTCATTGACTATAAGATAGTCAGTCAGCTACAACGTAGGACCAGGCACATATATGCATCAGTCCGAGTTCCTACACCTCATAAGCACAAGATAAACACGAAATTCATATATATATATATATATATATATATATATATATAAAATTAATTAATTCGTAGAAAGATATGAAGCGATTTTAATCTCTTAGTTTAAGGGAAAACAGAGAGTGTATACACCGACGCCATTGTGATCGATTCTGAGCCATATCACCAAGAATCCCCAACTATTGGTTACGATAGTCACGCGGACCCCAACTAAGTAGTCTGCATCTACCAACATGGTTCAGGCTAGAAGTTAGTGACTTCATGGACTCATGCCATGTTTAGGTTTGGTCGCCCCTAACTTTCTTATAGCCATCCCCAACACTAGTCAGCATTGCGCGTCGTAGTAATCGGAGTTCAGAAATATGTAACACGTGGCCCAACCATCTCAGTCGATGAAGATTAACAACCTCATCAACCGATTTACCATCATTACCTAATACCCTGCGTCTAACCTTACTATTACTTACCCGGTGATCCCGTGTTCCGGTCTCATAAGGATCTAGAGGTGACAGTGAGTCATGATCTTAAAACGACGGCCGATTGCCGGGAGGTCGCAGCTAAGGGGTTTCGAACCCTCTGGGCTTTAAAACGGACATTCACTAAGTTAGATACTACCATGTTCACCACAGTATACACATCCTTAGTGAGAACTGAGCTTGAGAACTGCGTTCAGGCTGCAAGCCCCTGTTTAAAAGGTGACTCGGATATCCTAGAAGAAGTAAAGAGCGCAGCTACCCGTGCAATTCCAGAACTCCGGGGTTTACCATACAAAGAGCGGCTTGAAAAGCTGGACCTCTTCGTTCTGTCCTATTGCAGATTAAGGGGAGATCTAATTTTGATGTACAGAATACTGAGAAATGATTTTGGACCTAACTTATTTTCCTTTTCTTCCCACTAGATCGGGACATTTCAGAGGACATAGCAAGTGGGTAGAAAAGCCACGAACGAACAAACTACCCGTGACATACAGGTTTTCACACCGAGTAATCAACACTTGGAACCTTCTGCCCGAAGCAGTGATGTCCGCACATTTAATTGACTCATTCAAGAGAAGATTGGACACTCACCGGAGCATACTAGAAAAGGAATAACATAGGCCGTAGGCCCTCTGTCCTTACTACACAAATCTGAATCTTGATTTCATTGATGGAATAGTACATCATAAAACCAGTGACTTTGCAGCTGTAAAGTAAGCTTTTAAGGGTAGAACCTTATCAAACATCACCCAAGTCACTGACCATTTGCTAAAGAATGCCTACTTTAGCTTTTCAATAACATTTTCGCCAACTAAATTCTAAGACGATGTCTTCAGTCTTCAGTAATAAGGATAGTAGGTTGATGAACCTGTGTTAATCCTGACACATTGCTTTCCAGTGAAGGTCCAGCTTTTCCTTGAAAGTATTCACTGATGGGGCTGATACCACTTGTTCGGGTAAGGCGTTCCAATGATTGACTACTCGATGAGAAAAACGGGATCCCACTTTAAGTTTATTAGATCGTGGTTTATGAACCTTCTTGCTATGACCTCGGAGATTATTAGTGCTGGAGGGAGCAAAAAGATAAGACATATTAACACCCAAATCATAATTAAAGATACGAAATGCCAGTATAAGGTCACCTCGTGTCCTACGATACGACAAGGGGAAAAGATTTAGGCGTTTTAAGCGCTCATCGTAAGGGAGTCTAGAAAGACCCTTCACTAATTTCGTTCCCACACGCTGGACACGCTCAAGGGAGTTAGTATCCTTTACTAGACACGGGCTAGCTGCTTGGATACAGTACTCTAAATGTGGTCTAACATATATGGGATATAAAATTCGAAACGTTTCCTCGTCAAAAGATTTGAACGCTCGGCGAAGTGACCATAACGCACGAAAACCTTTGACAGCGGCTGCTTTGCAATGCGCAGTTGTTTTTAAATCATGACTTAATATTACTCCTAAGTCCTTATGCTCTTGAACGCATGGAAGAGGTTTACCCTCAATAGTGTAACGGTAACTATTACCGTGACCGATGTGCATTAGTACACTCTTCCTAGCATTGATTTCTAAGCCCCACTCTCGAGCCCATCTAACTAAATCGTCTAAGTCAGCTTGAAGATCCACATGATCAGCCGCACTTTTTATTGTTCTCCAGATTTTTACATCATCCGCAAACAATAATGTCGACGACCTAAGTAACAGCGGTAACTCATTAACGTAGAGAAGGAAGAGCAGAGGGCCTAAGATGGTGCCTTGGGGTACACCACTTTTGACCGGCTTCCAATCGGATAGCGTTCCATTGACCCTAACTCTCTGTCTGCGGTCACATAAGAAATTTCCTATCCACTCATGTACAGTACCTATTATTCCGAAGCTCGTGAGCTTCTGCATAAGACCTACGTGTGAAACCTTGTCAAACGCTTTGCTAAAATCTATGAATATCACGTCGACAGACAGACCGTGATCTAGGGCTGCTGTCCAATCCTCCCTCGCAATAAGCAAGTTAGTCAAGCATGAACGCTTGTTACGAAATCCGTGTTGCTCAGGAGCTAACAGATTGTGTAAATCTATGTGGCTTAGCAACCTAACCCGAATTATCTTTTCGAGTAACTTAACGACTATGCTAGTTAGACTGACAGGCCGGTAGTTAGATACTATCTGTCGCTGACCGTCCTTAAATATAGGACTAACTATAGCGTCCTTCCAATCTCTAGGGAGTTGAGCGAGTGAGAGGGACATGTTGAAGAGTGTCGCAAGCGGTTTTGAAATAATGTCCGCAAGAGATGACAGCAACCGTGGATGTAACCCGTCAGGGCCCGGTATCTTACCAGGTTTGAGGTTAGTTATCAACGGAAGGACAGTTTCCTCAGTCACCTGTACAGATTCAATGGTTGGTATCTCGGTGTGAGTGGGACAAGTATTTGTTACAATAAACGTAGAGAAGACTTCGCTAAAATAATCTGAAAAAGTCTCAGCTTTTGCTCGATCTGATTCAGCTAGTAATTCTGAATTTTCGTGTAACAGCAACGGGGGAATACCATCACTACGTTTCATTTGCCGTTTAACATACGAAAACAATCGTTTCGGACAAGTACGGCTATCATATACTAACTGTCGTTCGTAAGTGGTACGGGATTTCGCTATGGTTTTCTTACAGATATTACGGTATTTTTGATACTCACGCTTAAATGGTGCATGACCTGTCAACAAGAATAAGTCCCAGAAATGTTTCCTACGCTTTAACAGCTTCCGGGTTTCCTTATTAATCCATGGAGGGCAATGTGATAGCTTACGTGCTGACCATGGGATAAACGGCGACGTTACGGACTCGAATGTAGCCTTAAACTTATTCCATTCATCTTCGATCAATCCATCCGCGTCGACCGACCAATCAGTCGAGATAGCACAGTTTCTGATTTCCGGAATATTAGCTCGCCAGATATTGGGACGGGGTGGAGCAGATACGAATTGTATACCATGTGTCCTAAACTTAAAGTGAATTACAACGTGATCACTGTTCACTAGTGGAGGAAGGTGCTGGATATCAAAGACATCCTCAGAGTGGTGGGTGAGGGCGAGGTCCAGCAGTGACGGATCATGATGCAAATCAATATGTGTCGGTTTTGTGATACATTGTACAAGTGCACACTGAATAACGGTAGATAAAAGGTCGCTATCGAAACCACTACCTGGAGCTGTAAGCTCTATCCAGTTGATATGCGGTGCGTTGAAGTCCCCAATGATGAGACAACATTCTGCCATACTCCAAGAACAGATGTGTCTTAGGATAAAGTCGTCAGCCAGACAAGACGGACTACGGTATATTCCCCCTATAGTCACTAACCCATTTCTAGATTTAATCTTACAACATGCAACCTCACATGTGCCACTGATATGAGCCTCCGATATGGTTGATTGTATACGAAAGTGATCCCTAACGTATAATATTATACCTCCCCCTTGCGACTTGAAACTCTATCACTTCTGATACAGATATAACCAGCAATGAAAGGAGAACAGTCTATATCAACGGTGAACCAAGTTTCTGTAACAACGATTATATCGGGACATAATTCTTGCACCATCAGACTTAGCTCGGACGTTTTATTTCTAAGACTACGAGCGTTCGTGTAGCACACACTTAAGGTGTTTTGGAAATCAATCGTTCTACCCATACAGGCCTCGGAAGCATTGGCTTCCAAGACCTGACTACCCGAAAACCCTTAATGGTAAGGTTATTTTCGCCATTTAATTTGCGAGTCCTCAACTCCGTAAGAGCATTCTTCCACTTGATTCGATCCTCAAGCGGCCAATCTGGTCGAATACGGATATTTGAGGCACGAGTTTTTAGTGCGCTTTTCAATAATATGTCTCTTTCTTCAAAACTCCCGAGAACCAGCTTCAGGATTCTTCTTGGTTGGGTCTCGCCTCCAACCCATTTACCAAGTCGTATTACTTTTGTAATATGTACCCCTGAAACCTCTTCAGGTAGTACATTCCTTACCACAGACTCCACTAACTGCAGGTCATGTGCATGTCTTTTAGCAGGGTCGTTGTCTTTCGACTCCTCTAGATTCCAAATAATTAAACTAGGGGGGTTTAGCTTCTTTTGAAACTGTGTTCACAGCTTTCGACCGTGACGTTAGATCCTGTATTTTAACTACTGGTATCTTACGATTAGTTTTTATTTTAACAGAGTCCTGGGAGTCAAGCGAATGACTCACAACAATGTCAGACGAAGCTTTACTATGGGACTTTGGCGGATTGGTCTGAGAGTCCACCAAGGACTTACCAAGTAAACAGTCATTAGTTTTAGCTGTCTTTCCTAATCTTCTGCGTTTCCGTGTCATCCATATTCCATCAGTCGTAGCATCCACATTAGAACCACTCGGGATAGTAATTGTTTTATCTGGGTCACCGGTTGCTGCTGTAGCAACATGGCCACCAATATCTAATGACGTGTCACTCACTGATCGTTTCGGGGGAGAATGTTTAACTGCGGGTTGCACAGTTAGATGTCTGGCTTGCGCCGTGACAGCACTCACGACACTAACGCAATCTTCGTCATCAGTACCAATGTTGCCAGTTTTTTTATTTTTTATTTTTAACACAGACATTGGTACAAGGAGGCACCAAATACATATGCGTTACACAAATCTCATTCGATATGTGTGAGGGCTGTAATACTGCCCGGGTGTCCAAACCGAAACAGGTGGTTTTCTTAGGGGGCCGCAACGCGAGCCTTCGACCTGAAGGTCTGATCCACAAGGCAGTGGAGCATCGTAAGGAGATGCAGTCCCATGGAAGCCGGTGACCAACAATCGGTTCATACGCCATTTGTTCCCGCAGGATACTGGAGCCCATGTGCACCATTGGTTTGGAATCCGGTTAAAGCACCGGACATTCGCTTTTCGTCCTCTCATTTTCGTAAACAACACCCCCGCCACGAGAAGGCAGTGAGTAGGACTTCCCTGGCAGAGGCTATGTACGCGTGGCCATGTGAGAGCATTTCGAGAGGGAGAGCGGACTCTCCCCACTCTCGGCCGTACCAGGGCATTTAGGGGTAATGTTGCCAGTACAGCCCTCACCAACCTTATTAGTCAATACCAGGAGACTAATTGCTTCCTGGATAAGCAATGTGTTTGCTCGAGCAACAAAAACTACAAAGCCAATGAGAGTTGGGCTTTGAGCACCTTTTATATGCAGTGGGGCTTAATCGGGTGCACATCTTATGGAACCACTTATTACACTCATCACATTGCATCCCTTCATCCACGGGAAATAAGCAATATGGTTGTCCACATTTATGAGCAGACCTAACTATCTTGAAAATCAACTAGAACAGTGACAAAACAGGATATGTAAAAGGATTTTCAAACCTTAACTAAATAAATCAAGTAAAAGTCGACCAAGTATGCTTCGACGCAATAAATACACAAAAGCAAGATCGAAACACTCAATTCAATATCACTTTAACTGGGGTAGATGCAATTAAAGTGTAAGCAGTACTTTTGATGCGTAATTTACGATCAAAACAGTTAATTAACACAACGAGAAACAATACCACTGTCCTTTTAAATAGACCGTTAGTTGGCCACTAAAAGCGTTCTTAACTCACTGCATATACATCAACATGACAGTGACGGAATTCACCAGAGAATATGAGGTGAAACCCAAACAATGGTCAAAATACTGTTTTAAAAAGTACACAGGAGAAACTTACCATGAACTGTTAGTTGCCATTCTTTATTCAACTCGTGAAGTCGGAACGCCTCTTTTAATTCCATTTCTGAGGAAATAACGATAGGATCGTGTTCTTCGTCGATCCATTTTATTGTGAATGGTTGATCTTTGGTGAAACTACACAATTCTCGGACTTGTTGGTCAATGACCTGAAGACTAGCTGACAACGGACAGCTCGTCACCATTGCAACACTTTACAGATCAGGAGGATAAGTGTTAATAAAACCATAAGGATATTCGAGACTTACGAATTATGTATATACTTGATTTGAAGTGTATTTGAGTTTAGAGAGGACATTGCTACTAAATATGGGGAAACCTCAAATAGTAGCGCAAAATGTCGAAAACCCGGCCAGTGAAGTATTCACTTAAACCTTCAGACTATCCAAATCTGATAAGCTTTTTTGATCCGTAAAGTTTGGAAACGTAGATCTCTAGTTATACGATCTGTTCAAAAGGGTTCTAAGATTGGAGAAATGAAGATATCTACTAACTAGTACCTGGGAGCAGGATTTTACTGACATTCATATAAGACCTTATGCGTCCCTAGGAGATAAAACCAAGCAAATATCGGACTTAACTTACAACTGCAATTGTAAACAAATCCCCGAAATAAGTGGTTCTATAAGTTCTGCAAGTCTCATTAGTCTTATTTGGCACACAATAGCTGAAGGCGCCCGGTCACCCATCCTCACCAGATCACAAATGGTTACGTCGCGCTATACATCCTTTGCAAATATTTGCCAGATTGGACCAAACGCTTTTCAGTATGTCCAAATATATCATCGAACTCCTTCATTTCTGACTTCTGGTCTGACTGGGTTGGAATCCTTTGATTGTAAAGGTGCTGCGTGTGAAGGCTATGTTAAAATCTGGGTACCTGTTGCATCTTTACTACAACAAACCGCCCGTCGCTACTACCGATTGAATGGTTTAGTGAGGTCGTTGGATTGGTGTCGTTGTAGTGGCGTTGCCGCTCGACTGATGCTGAGAAGATGACCTAATTTGACTATTTAGAGGAAGTAAAAGTCGTAACAAGGTTTCCGTAGGTGAACCTGCGGAAGGATCATTATCATAACCCAAAAATATATAATGATGCATGCACCTGGCTTCTTGCTGGGCTGTATGTACCCTGGCTTGGTGGTTATTACCCTAGGCTCCAGTGGTTAAATATGGCATGCACCTGGCTTCGTGCTGGACTGCATGTACCCTGGCTTGGTGGTTATTACCCTAGGCTCCAGTGGTTAATGTGGCCATATAACCTCTGCTATCGCAACCCAATCTGTTCCCTTGATCTTGTTGTGGAACACACAAATCTCCGAAGCAACCGTAAACGGTGCCATTAAGGATTTTGTAGTGACTCACATTTATCACGAGAACACGACTGGTTTAATGGAAACAATTATTATTATAACCAACTGTACCAGTGCTTGTTTTAATGTGCTTTTGTTTGACTGTGCTAATGACAGCTATTTTGTGCTTCCATTCTTTTACTTACACTTTTTGATTGTGACTTCGCGCGAATTCGGTTACGTTCTGTAACCAGGCTTGTATCCTGGCACGATCTCGGTATCCTTTCGATGCCACGAGATCGCCAGCGAATATATCTCGATTTGGTCCATTAATTGCCTTCTGATATTTGGCTTCTCGGGGATTTTATGGATTTATTTGGTTACTTTAAACCTTCGCCTTCTGATTTACCTGGCACGTGTTTCTTGGTAGCGGTGTTCATAGTTAACCTCAACTCGACACCACGCTACAATTTTCATTGACCCAGACGTTAGTTGTAAAAAGATATAATCCGTTTGCTTCCACAACGTATTCGACAGTAAGCTACCTGTGATTACTATGAGGGAGTTCTTAGAACATTATTTCTCTAAAGACGCATATCTTATCTCGAATAACGGATTCTATTTATTGTGGTCGTGTATGGAATTGAGAATATTCTGTTACAACAGAATATATATGTTTGTAGCTATAATACTCGCACTATTATTTAAACCTATCGTTTTTCACTTTCCAGTTTTGTTAGGTATTATTTTTCCCATATTCCTCTGTTGGCTGGTGAAATTTTTGTGCATTTGACTGAAATATACCTTCACTCCGCATGTTATTCATGTTGTGCGATGAACATAAAGACAAGATTATTAAGACTTCTCTAACTTTAAGACATAACAATGGAACAAATGAAGTGGCTTGACATACTCTGATTGAGTGAAAAATCCAGTAGTCTTTCGACGTGAATTCCAGGAAGAGTCTAATGGTCTAAACGGGACATTTCGATGTCTTTATATCACTATATAATGAATGAGAACTGATCACCAAAGGTTATCGATTGTCAGAATTTAGAAGTTAGTGTGTACTCGTTTCAGAACCGCTGTTAACAATAGTGAGGTTGCATCCGGAGACTTCGTATATTTTTTTAAAATTCGTAAAACTTTTATTGACCTAGATAAATATATTTTAGGATCTTATACCTGCCGTGTATGAGACAGCATTTAAGATAAGGTTTAAGAAACTAGTCCTTCTATCAAATAAGAAGCATATATACTATGATGGGACAAGTGACCAGGGATCAAAATGCTGAAATCCCATTATCTCTTTCCTCATAAGAATAAACTGAGATACTTTGACCTGGTTACGTTACCCTAGATTATGATAAGAGTGGATATAATTTTCGCTAACTGTGCACCGAAGAATAGTTTTAATATTATTGTTGCTGGTCTTTTTATTCAATTTAGGCCTGGTTACGAAGCAAATATTCTGAATAAATTCTAAAATGTTGGCCATACTATTTGCATCTGAAGTTTTGTTGCCCTCTCCTACTCATGAATTACTGGCATTCTCTAGGAGCGCAGATTATACAAACACAGTCTTTTGTGACGTTCAGAGTTAAGTTGGCCCTCGAAGTACAGCATGCTTTTAAAACTAATATATGTCACCCGATATCCTCTTCTTACCCTTATAGACTAATTACAAAAAGTTTAACTTGCATTCTCGCGAGTACTTCTCATTTTTTACGCTAAAGTAACACCCTAGAATGTGTAACATAATGATAACAATGCGCATTTCATGGACGGGAAGTATTATCCTTACGTGATTTGTATTTCTCAAACTTCTGTGTTCTTATTTAACGGAGATACTATTTTGGAGTCGAAGAATCTGTCCTGAGATTACCGTTTGGTAAATTGCTGTTCTTTTTCGAGTTTTATCTGAGTTAATAGTTAACTGTACTGATGATGTCACAGGTATTCAGTGTTTCACAACGCTTCTACCAGTAACACCTTCTAATATGTTTCGTTCCCACCAAGAGAAATCAAAAGACAGAGTCGAGGAGATCGGAAGAGTATATTTGGCGATGACCAATATATCGGGATTCTCTGATCTAATCTGGCTAGCGATTGTGGTTGATGTTGAGCACGGCGTTACTACACGTGATCTGGTGCGGATGCCTGACCGAGCGCCTTCAGCTAGATGAGTCCACTAAAACATATGGTCAGCATCCAATGTCGAAAACTTACAGAGCTATTTATTTTGGGGATTTATTTACCGCTACAGATCACTCCCCCCCTAGTGGGGCAGTGACGACCCTAAGACGTGGCCAGCCAGAAGTTTAAACCCAACGAGTTTGTCGTTGGTAAACACTCTTCTGATAGCTTACTAAATTTAGCAGCGTCTGGTCGTCTTTCCTTACTATATGGGACGGAGGTACAACATAGTAAAAAAAGAAAATGTACAATGAAAATTTCGGATCCTCATAAACGTCATCGTTCTTTTCCAGCCGTCCTGGAAAAGAAAAAAGAAAATGTAAGTGCATGTCGAAAATACACTCGTATTTGCGTAAAAACACAATGTCGGCGGAAAAAAAATGGAAAATAAACTCATGAGCACGTAATAGCGTTAAAAAATTTGTTTTTTTGTTTTTTTTTTTAATAGAAATAAAAATATATAAGCATATTAAAATTGTTTTTTTTTAAAAAATAATATAAAATGTCGAGAAGTGCCTTACGTGCAATAGTCGTTTAAATGTTCTGGAAATCTCACCCTTCTTCCAGAACGCGTCGTTTTAAGTTTATTTTCGGATACTGTCGAAGTATCTTCGCGTGTGTTGGTTGTCGGATGAGGTATTATTAGTGTCTGAGTCGTGTCGTTCGATTGTACCGAAGGAAAATCGACGTAGATAGGATTTCCTTCTAAATACGCTGCTTTTAAGCGATCGATGCTGATGCTATCGTTGGTTCCGTTCTTATCGACTATATAGTACTTAGATTCACGTTGAAGAACTTTGAAGGGTCCTTCGTATGCTGATTCGAATGGTCGTCGATGCGAGTCTCGACGAATGAAAACGTGTGTACTATATCGTAAGTCAGGTTGAACGAAAACATCAGTTGATTGAGGTCGAGTGGAAGCAGGTTTAACTGAACGCATTGCGTTTGTAAGCCTGTTCGTGTAGGAGGTTAGATCCATGTTCATCGAAGAGCACGAAGGATCCACGAATTCTCCTGGAAGTCGAAGTGTCGTTCCATAAACGAGTTGAGCCGCAGTGTATCCAATGTCAGCTTTCACTGCATTGCGGATACCTAGTAAGACGAGTGGAAGAGCGTCGGTCCATTGTGAAACGTTTGCAGCTGATAGCGAAGCTTTCAGTTGTCGGTGAAAACGTTCTACCAACCCGTTTGCTTGTGGATGGTAGGCGGTCGTTCGGAAGCGAGTGATTCCTAAAAGTGTGGTCAGACGACGGAAAAGATCAGATTCAAACTGACGTCCGCGGTCTGTAGTGATGGTTGAAGGGCAACCGAAGTTTGCTACCCATCGTTCGACGAATGTGCGGGCCACTGTTTCAGCAGTGCTGTCCTTGATAGGTACTGCTTCTGGCCATCGAGTGAAACGGTCTACGCAGGTTAAGAGATAAGAGTATCCATTTGAATCTGGTAAAGGTCCTACCAAATCCAGATGAACATGGTCGAAACGAGCATCGGGAGTTTTAAACGAGCCTAAGGGACATTTATTGTGTCTGATAACCTTAGATTTTTGGCAGCTTACACAGGAGCGTGCCCACTCCCTCACGTCTTTATTCATGCCAGGCCAGCAAAATCGTTCTGCTATAAGCTTGATGGTTGCACGAACACCTGGATGAGAAAGTTTGTGCAATGTGTTGAAGACATTGCGTCGATAATGTTTCGGCACGATTGGGCGATCCCTACCTGTAGATGTGTCACAAAGTAAGGTTTCCTTACCTGTTCCCATCTGTTTGATGCGTAGTTTAAGTGTTGTGGACGATAACTCGTGCTGAAGATC